CTTTGAGGACCGAGTCATTTTTATGTTTTCACTTTTGTGACACTATTCACTTTCGTCTTTTTCTCGGTTGTCACTTTGTTGGCATAACCTCACTTTTTGTGTTCGGATTCGATTCCGGTTTTGCATGCATCCACGATATTTAAATTCCATACTATGTGCATTTTCACTTTTGTAGAAAAGCATGCTAAGTGCTTACTTTTCTTGTAAAGGGTATAGATGCATGACTTTTTTAGTAATTTTCTAAACTTTAAGGGTTTTTGTGTAATTATTGTAAAGTAATTATTTTTTGTCTTAGGGACCATTTTGCAATTTAATTTGGAAGATATTTTCAAAAAGGATTTTTTTGCAATTTCCGGAAAGTGTGACAAGTGTCACACTCTCATTGGTCCACTTGTTGTGATGTGTGTGGAAACACTTTGAGACCTTGGATGAGGACATGTGGATGGTGGAGATTTAACCACTTGTTGGCCTAGGATTGGTGCACTTGTTGGCTTGGATGGTTGACAAGTGTAGGCTTGAGATTTAGCCTAGGATGTAGCCTTGGATTTGTGACAAGTGTAGGCTCACAATGTGATCTTGCATTAGTGTGTGTGTGAGAGGTAGTGTAAGAGCACATAGTGAGTGGAGGATCTCTATCCCCTCCACTCACATTTCATCTTCATCATTTTTCATTTCCTCCCTCTTTTGTAAAGAAAACCCTAGCCTCCATGGATGGAGCCTAAAGCTTTAAGCTTTGACCTTGATTTTTGAGAGCCTTTCATTGATTTTCAAGCTTGAACTTGGGAATACATTTTGTTCCCCTCATCTTCCTCTTCATAACCCTAGAAGGGTTTGCCATTTTGTGTTGATTTTGCCTTCGATTCTAGACAGACACTTCTCTAGTAAGGTAGGGAATGTTATAGGGTTATATGTTTGTTGTCTTGCATGTTTTTGATGCTTATACAACTTGTATGCATGTAGTGTATTAATTTGAGAAATTATGATTAATGGTAGTTTGCTTATAACTCATTTTAGACTTGGTCAATGGCATGGCCATGAGTTGATCTTTGATATACATTAATTTTGGTTGATTTAGATGAGTTTTCAAATCTAGAGATTAAATGGATTTAATTTGGTTTAAATTCTAGTAAATTGTGTTTTGCTTGTAATCCATCTTAGACTTGATATATGGTATGACCATGACTTAGTGCTTGATATATATTAATTTGAGATCATTTAGACAACTTTTGAAATCTAGAGATTTAATTGATTTAAATTAATTAAATTCTATTTGATGATATCTTGCTTATCTTGCACTTTTGATTTGATATATGTGAAGACCAATCATATGTTGCTTAACATATATTAATTTGAGGTTATTTGAAATCTAGAGAATTTAATCACCTTGTTTAATTAAATTCTATCTAATGGCTCCATGGATCTATTGGTATTTTAGAAGTTGTTTTTATATTCAAATCATGGACTTGAACTTGTTATGTATTCATTTGATTGTGTTTTGAGCATTGGATAACTTGTTGTTATATTTATATTCATGAGAATATGTTTTCTTTATAGAATATATTGATGCCATGTGTAGTGAATTGCACACTTTGTAATTGACATTATGTATGTCATTTTAGAATTGAAATTCTAAGGCATGGATTGTGTGGTTTCAACCTACTTGTGCATGGAAGGTGGTTTATATGCCTTAAATTATGATATATAAGTTTTGAACTTAATATATTTTGGATTCTCTTAGGACATTGTGTTACAAGTGACATGGCTAAAGTTTGGCTTTAGTGCGGAAGGTATGAGTTCTCCCCAATTGAGATAGTGCGCACTAGGGTGGTCTTTCCAGCGGGTTAATGCCCGAAATAACCATATTGATCTTGGTTTAGTCCAAGACGAGATGTCCAAGTTTTTCATTATGTGATTTCGCATTAAATTTCAAGTTGACAACCAATGTTTAATTATAACTTGTAATTTTTAGTTGATTGCGATTTTGATGTTGTTAAGTACATCCATACTAAATTGATATATTTAATTGATTTCACACTTTTAGATTTGTAGTTGATAACCTAGAGAACCTATGTCTTGATGTGTGGTATTAGATATTCTAATTATGCTAAATTGTTATATTTAGTTGATGTTGCATTTTAGACTTCAAGTTGATTACCTTGAGAATCTATATGTTGTTGCTTTGTGTAAGCATGCTCCTATGTAGTTGCTTTGTGTAAGCATGACCCTATGTTGCTAACATTGCATGAATGAGGTGATTGATGCTAGAAATGATCCTAGGTAGTTAGGATGCTCCTTGAGTCTCACCTTTGACATAGACGTTAGGTGGAATGAACCACAATAATTAAATCATGCAAACTTGTAAAACGTAGGTCGATGCATGCTCATTTCCTACGAGTAGCTTTATGTTACTCACCCCTACGATACTGGGGCATATTTCAGGTACAAGAATCAAGGTTGCGATTCTCGTCATGCTTGGATGATTGGTGAACTTGAAGATTTCCATTTGTTGTAAAGGTTAGCTTGAAAAGCCACTTGTAGTCTTATATGTCAAAATATGTATATTTGAATTTAAACATATAGTGTGTACATGAGTACACTCTTTACAATATATTTGACATGTATGAGATGAGGCCGGAGGCCAATGACATGTATCCTATGTAGTTTTGACTTTATGATATATTATGAAAATATTGAAAAATGTTAAGTTATTGTCTCACTATGTTTGCATCGGTCGTTTTCGGGAGCCGCGGACCATTCTCGCGCACTCAAAATTACTTATTACGTTTGCATGCATATTCGTTTCAGCCTAGAAGTGTATTTGGGGTCAAAAGTATGTTTGGTGCAAACTTACATTTTTTGCCGTTTTGAGCCTAAACTGAGCATAAGGGCATTTTGGGGTTTTCACTTGAAAAATAAAGTTTTCTTTTGGCATGGTTGGCTAGAAAACATGATTTTGAGGGTAGTTTCTTCTTTATGTTTTTCTCAAAAAGGCCCAAAAAGTCCTCAAAATTGCATTTCAAATCAGCATTTCAGGGGCAGCCTACAGGAGTTCGAGCACTCTAAATGGGGAGTTCGAGAACTTGAACTTTGGGCAGATTTCTTAAGGCAATTTTTGAGTGCTCGAAGTCCTTGTTCGAGCGCTCGAAGTACTGTTCACGGGTGTGTGTGTCTTGGTTCAGCACTGCACCTCCGACTTCAAATCATCATAACTTCTTCGTTTTAACTCCGAATTGGTCCATTCTTGAGTCTAAATTGATCGCATCGAAATAAGCTTTCCAAGGGTACTAATTAGAGCTTCATATTCTTCTTGTGCCTCAAGTTATTCAAGTTTTAGTAAGGTAGTGTCTATTTTTTGGTTCAAACCGGAATAGGGTATCCCTTCCTTCGACTTCAAAACTTGATATCTTTGCCGTCCGGACCCCGAATCAAGTGATTCTTGAGTCTATCCTTATTAATTTTTTGTTGTCTTTCCAATGGTGTGCACGGTGGCATCCATTTTAGTGTGGAATGACCATTTTGCCCCTAGGTTCATTCTTATCCGTTTTTGAAACGTTGCTTCCGCATTTTCTTCCTTTGGGTTTTGTGACCTCATTGAGGGTCACTTTGGTGTCCTAGAGACATGTTGTGTCCCTAGGGATGTCGTTTCATCTTTTGCTTCCGTAATTCGGATCCGTTATCGAGTCATCTTTTTGGTTCATCACTGACGCACAAGGTTGAAAAACCTTGGGCCGTCACAAAATAAAAGTAATTAATTCTAATTAATAAATTCTTTAAAATATAGGGATATTACACTTTGGCAAACAATACCCTTCTTGATGAAACAAAAACTTAAGGTTACATTTTTTTGAGTTTTTACCATATTCTGTTCCAGGGGCATTTTGGGTAATTCACAATGTGTTTTTTTCATTTTTGCCCACGTTTTCGGGTAGAAAACTCGATTTCAGAGGGGGTTTCTTCTTTGTGTTTTTCTAGAAAATGTCATCTTAGCCCTCGAAAACCCATTTTTTTCCCGAAAAATCCTTGCTGCCAGGTTTTTTGCTGATTTTAACACAAGTGTACTTGGTACTATTCATCGAGTTTTTTTTTGAAAAGTGTGACGACCGATCCAAAACTTCTGGGGGTCTTGTAGGTGTATTTTAATATTGCATTTTCAATTTAGGAAATTTAAAAACCTCCCAAAGCCCCATTTCTTTTCCTTGGGCAGTAGCTAGGAATGATTTTTACCCTCTTGACCTGATTTTCTTGGGGGCGTTCTGTGTATTTTTTAATGCATTTTTTTTGTTTCTGTCTATACTTTTAGGTAGAAAACTTAATTTTAGGGGGGGTTTCTTCTCTGATTTTTTCCAAAAAAATCCATTTAGATGCCCGTTTTAACTCTCAGTTACAGCAGCAGTGGGTGGGCAGCACTGTAGCTGTCGTGACCCTCTTCTTTTTTTTTATCTTTCTCCCTCGTCCGGACTCCAAATCGAGTAAAATTTTTTTTGAACTTGATTATTTTTTTGCTATCTTTCCAACAGTGTACTTGGTTATACCTGGATCTCCATAGCTAATTACCTGTTTACCCTTTTTACTTTGTATGTCTGTTTTTCGTTGTTTTGTCGTTTCTCCTTCGTTCAGACTCCGAATCATGCGATTCTTGAGTCCATCTTGATTAATATTTCATTGTCTTTCCATTGGTGTGCTCAGTAGCACCTAAATCTATATTTTTTAAAATAACCATTTTGCCCTTGGGGCTATTTTTGTCCGGTTTTTTTGTAATTCGCTTCCGCTACTTTCTTTTGAGTTCCATGATTTCACGGGAAGTCATGGATGTGTCTCAGGAATAATATACATTCTAGGGATGTCATTTCCATGTAAAATAACTATTTTGCCCTGGGGCGTATTTGTCATATTTTTGATCTTTTACTTCCGCGTCAGTGATGATGTAACGCCTCGAATTTTTTTCTAAATAAAATCCTTGATTTCATTAAATCAAAATACATCAATACACTCCCAGGATCTCAAAAGAAATAAAATAACCTTTATTGACTAAATCAATTCCTCAAAAATGAATATACAAATTCTCTAAATAATAAAATTAATTCCTCAAAACCAACTCTTCCACTTCCACTTAAGCCTGCTACTATGAATTCAAGTTCATCCTCGGTACCTGAAACTGTAGGAGGGTGAGACAGTAAGAAAAACCATAACAAGGATTTCAAGAAGTTTCATGATAAATTTGCTTCACAAAAATATATATATACTTTTAAACAAAATACATATATACAATTTTAGCAAAATAATAATTAACAAAATATTTGAAATAAATCATCCAAGCCATTCAAGGTATGATGATCCCAACTCTGTAAAACAAATCATGGATAATCTGAGCACCAAAAATCTCGGCCCTCTGTGAGCTCTCGGCTCATGCTTGTGTGTTCCTCTATTTTCTCCGTACTTTCCTTTCAGTTTTCCTTGCCAAACTACCAATATATAGAAAGGATTTTGCACCGACACTAAATATCACAAACAAATATCAGCCGACAAAAATCATCTAATTGCAAATCAAAAATCTACTGGGTCACGCCATTAACCTTATTTTTTTCATGTCGGCAACCACTTATTTTTCTTATCTTCATACATCTAAAGACCAAGTACACATATTTAAATCATATATGCATGAAACAAAGCCAAACCATAACATATCTCTTAGTGGGCCCGCTGATTTCATCATCACAAAATCAATCTTTCTTTTCTCTAATTCCCACGGCTGGCAGGTGAGTCTTTAGCATAATACACTTTATATATATATATATATATATATATATATATATAATTATATACACAAATGCACATAACTAAAACTAAACCCATTAATATCCAATTAGTGGGCCCCACAAAATATCACCATTTCATTCACCAATTCCATTTTATTTCTTTACACCCACTTTCGGCTTACTGTGGTCTGATAGAATGCTACAATATATATATCATATATATATTCAATTGTAACAAAAACCAAAATCCAATCAACCCATCAATTATCTCACCTCCAATTTCGGCACCCATGCTTCCCACCTGATGCCTTGTATAAATATAATTATATGGATACAAATGCTACAAAGATTAAATCAACACAAGTTTAATTCTTATAAACTACAATATCATATCCAAAAATCTAATGGGTAAGTCTCCAATAAAATAAAAAAAATCAATAACCCAACCTTAAATTGGTAAATCTCCAATTAAAATAAAATAATTAATTTTGTCAATCAAAAATCAAGAGATAAATATAATTTAAAATCTAAAAAAAAATCCGGGTTGTCACAGATGAGAGATGAAAAGTGCGCATTTAAATCCCTTAAGCTTAAGTATTCTAGGACCTTTACCTATCTTATTTTTCCCCCTTAGATTGATTTCATGTTATTTCCATTTTCAGGTACTTATCCCCTAAATAAGCTAACTCAGCCAAATAAGAGCAGAAATGAAGTAATTCTGGGATGAATCAAAGAAAGGAGCAAAATAAAGCAAAAAGGAAGCAAAGGTGGAATTTCAGCATCTTCAATCGATCCAACATCAGTCTTCGATCGATCGAACTTCCATCGATCCAAGCCATGATGACATTTTCAGAGATCCCAAATATTCAATCAATCCAACATCATTCTTCGATCGATCGAACCTTCTTGTCCTTATCCAAATGCCAAATCTTATCCAGCTGTACTACCCTACCAACCCCATATGTCCTTTTCCCAAAAATATCTTCAAATTATCTCAGATTTGTTTTTATCCCAAAAGGCGCCGCCATTGAGGATCGATCCAGCCTAAGTTCGATAGATCTCAGCATGTTCGATCGATCAAAGTCCAAGGTTCGATCGATCGAACTTCCTCCAGTGCGAAAAAGTTAAATTTCCAGCTCACATAAAGTTGTACTTTATCCAATCATTAGAGAATATTTGTTGTACGACCCCAGCTTATTTTGGGTGTCATTTGACCTACCTATATAAGGATAAGGATTACTTTTACACAATATATCATATCATATCATATCATATCATACTTTGTAGAACTCTTAGGGAGGAAGAAAAGAAAAGAAAAGGCTAGAGACACCATTGGAGACTCTTCATCAACCAGGGAGCAAATCTCTACCATGGAGTTAGCCCTTGAGGGTTGGAGGACACCATCCATGAGTGGCTAAACATCCTCTTGGGGCTAGAGTTAACCCTAAGCATGCTTTCTATATCTTGATTTATGTATTCTTGAGGGGATTTGTATTGTGATACTTGTTTTTGACATGTTTATATATATATATATATCTTGTTTATTCAATGATTTGTATGGTTTAATGCTTCCAATTGATCATTTCATTCTATCCATATGTTTATGTATGCTAGAATAGATGTTCATGTGTTTGCCTCTATTTCTTGTGTTATTGGTGCATGTCTATGTGTATTAATGCTATAGATCTAGGGATTGTCAAGACATAGTGCTTAATGTAATGTCATTGTGGTTTATTTGATGGTTCATGCTTATTTCTTGATGGATTGTGCATCTCCCTTAGTTTAATTAGCTTAATTTCATGTCATTAGCTTAGTTGTAGTGTAGTGGTAGCTAGATGTTAAATGGGAGGACAATCCATGCTTGTTGTTTGATATTCCATGCTCATGAAAGCAAGTGGCATATTTCTCTAATTTTGTGTTGTGTTTGGTTGTGAGCTTAAAGAAATTATTAATGGCTTAATTTGATATGTTGTGCTATCTGCTATGCTGCTTAGACAATATATGCTTAATTTGTCATCCATGCTTGTTAAAACAACCACACACACACACCATTGTCATAATACATACCTTTTCCCTCATTAATCATTCATTAAAGGTGTAGAGGAGCTATGATTAGTGGTGATCTCTAAACCCCAAGATCTCTCTCTCTCTCATTTTACCTCTATTGTATTATTGTTTAGTTTAAATTGCTTCTTAGCTTAATTCAACCACCAACCAATCCTTTGATCACTCAACCTACTAACCCTAATTTTGATTCCACAACCTCTTGACCCTCACAATCCATTGGGACGATCCCTACTCGCCCTAACTATATTTTTAGTGAAAGGTAATAGTGGCAAATTATAAATGTAAAACATAGCCCTCGCCTTAATGCACACTCTTAAGCTTATGGTAGGACGATGACCATCAGTTTTTGGCGCCGTTGCGGGGGATTGATTGATTGGCAACGTCGTATTTGTGGAATCAATTAGGAATTAGTACTCTTTTGATCGTGTCTTTACTTTATTTTTATTTCTATTTTGGTTACTTATTGTGTTGGTTCTTGTTTGACTAGAAGTATTAAGCAAGAAGGTGAGCAAAGGAGCTAAGCAAAGCATGGAAAAAGGGTAAATTCTAAAAAATTACTAAGCTAAGCTAAAAATTTTGGAGTTGAAGTGCTATAGGACCTTTGTGAGATCTTTCTAACTCAATCTCTAGTTAAATCGTCGGCCCGTGTGTAGGTTTGTATTTCAATTCTTAGATAAATCGTGAGCCCGCGTGGAGGCAATTTTACTTTTCTTTTCATGTTGTTCAAGCATGGGAGTATGGGATCAATGTATGTGGAGGAAGTTATTGATTGATTTGTTCTAAAGGTGAAGTGTTTGACATTTTTGCTTGTTGTGTTGCATTGTGCAAGTATAGTCATAGATCATTGAGACCCACTCTTGTCCCTATAAATTTTCATCTTGAATATATTGTTCGAAACCTTAGGGGAAGAGGTAGTTCTAATCAATCCATTTCATCAATGGAAGGACACAATGAAGACCATGTGGTGGACCTTGGTCACATAGACCAACAAGGTATCCTCCACCCCAATGTGCATCATGATAACATGCAAGTACCGTTAGGCATGCCAAGGCCATTCATTCATCCACCACAACAACAAGACCAAGTTCCATTGGGAATGCCAAGGCCAATTTATGCTCTACCACCACCCATTATTCAAGGTAATCAAGGTGCCCATGTTGTACCTCCAATTGCTAATCCTCCCCTTGCTTTGAGAGATCACTATGTGCCTAATGAATATAATGCACCCACATGCATTCAATTGCCACCATTTAGAGCACATCACTATGAGATCAAGCCACAAACCATTCAAATGTTTCCTAACTATCATGGACTTCCAAGTGAAGAACCTTACAAGCATTTAGATGAGTTTCTTGAAGTATGTTCCACCGTAAAATATACGGACATGCCGAAAGAGGTCTTAAGGCTTAAACTTTTTCCATTCACCCTAAAAGACAAGGCAAAATATTGGTTTAACAATCTTAGGCCTTTTTCAATAACTTCTTGGGCAGAAATGCAACAAGCATTCTTAAAAAAGTACTATCCAGTTTCTAAGACCAATGCCATGTGAACCTCAATTCGAGAGTTTTCACACGGAGAAGGGGAAACATTCCATGAGGCATGAGAACGCTTTAATGAATTGCTTAGGAAGTGTCCACATCATGACATGCCCAAATGGCAACTAGTTCAATATTTCTTTGAAAGCTTATCGAACAATCATAAGGGCATGGTTGATGCTTCCATGGGTGGCTCTTACATTGATAGGCATGAGGATGACGTGTGGCGTCTTTATGAAAGCATGAGTGAAAATTCTTTGCATCGAACTCTATCTTCTAAGAATAGTAGGAATTCTAGCGGAAGAAAGAGTGTTGGCTTGCACCAAGTCGGCCATTCCAATGAAATAGCCACCGAGATGAAATCCTTATCTCAAAGGTTTGATCAATTCTTGATCAACCAAAGCTCGGTAAATCAAGTATCTTCCCTTCTTAACCATTCACATCATGTATCTAATGAGACATATATGACTTGTTCAAGTGTTTTACATTCTACTTCTAATTGTCCCCATGGATATGTGCAAGGTGAATATCATGAACAAGTCAATGCAACTTTTGTTAATCAAGGGAACAATCCTTATGGCAATCATTATAATCTAAGTTGGAGGAACCATCCGAATTTTTCTTGGAAAAACCAAAGGGAAGGCTCAAACCATCCCTAAGGCGGTTTTCAAGGGAAATACATTCCACCTCCGATACAAAGGCAAAGTTCCCAAGGATATAGACCATTTCAATCACAAGGAAACCAATTCTCTAATTCTCATTTTCCAAGTCAAACATATTCTCAGGGGAATTCTAGGAGTCCCGCCTTTGAAGAGAAAGTTTTGACCGCTCTAGGCACTTTAGAGGCTAACACTCAATTGTTTCATTCTCACTCTCAATCCATTGCAAAGCTAGAAACCCAAGTAGGGCAGATAGCTAGCACCTTAAATGCCAGAGAGAAAGGGAAAATGCCTTTGAATGCCTCACCAAAGCAACAATGTGTTGTGGAGACTCATTCCTCTTCGGAAGGTCACACAATAGAGCATACCAATGCGGTGACAACCTTAAGAAGTTGGAAGATTGTGGACAACCAAGTGGGTAAGTCCAATGAAGAGAGTGAACCGGTGCAACTCGAAGTTCACACCCGTCCCATTTCACATCCTATTCCTCTTTCATTGCATATACATG